ACTGGGCTATGTTTACAATATCATTTTAAAGCTATCTACTTTAAACTGTATAACATGTGTCCGAATTGGCAATATGAATGAGGCAGATAAAATTACAAGATAATGATTTCCGAAGAGGAAATCGAAAAGTCAAAATAAAATATTTTCGAAATTTTGATTAATTTCCATTAAAAATAGTAAATATTATCCGATTTTGTATTAGAAAACAATATATACGTGTCAAAAATAAACTTATTTCATTAGATACCTTAAAAATTTATCCAAACCTGTGAATTATTGAAATATTTTAGAAAATAAACATATTATACAATATTTGGCGGCAAGATTGTAATATTAATTGAAACATTTAACAAGTCAATAACTGTGGCGGATTAAACAAACAATGAACTGTTACGAGAATTAATAATAATTAATTTAATATCAACAATATTTCCTTCGATAGCCCTGGCGAGATGAATGAACTTTAAATTAGAGGTGCAAATAATTATCAAAATTTAAATAGCAATAAACAATATTTAGCTAAAGGTGTCTAGCATCATTTAGCTAATGCCTATTGTTTATTAATGTTAATGTTTATTAATATCATCAAAACAATACAAATATCCATTATGATTGCCAACCTCCGTAGGGAGACAGCACTCTAAGAAGAAGGATAAACAATCAAAAACAATTTATAGGTTCAGGTAAAAGTAGGTAAACTTACAATTAATTGAAGCTAATTACCATGATGTACACTACTTTAGGAAACAAAGAACAAAACGAATTCAATGTTTCACTGTCGAGTTGCGTCTGTCCCTCTTAACGACTCACGCTCTTGTGTTTAGCGAGATTCATTGCCCGATCGGTACTATAGGGATCGTAGGAATACAGGGAAGACAAATGTATTGATTAGCTTACACAACCGTATTTGAATTTAAACATTCTCCCCCCTTTAAAGACCATAAGGTCTTTAAAAACAAAACGAATTCTAAATACTATCATTACTTAAACAAAAGAAACAATAATTAATACAAATAATTCCTATATAAATCTTAAACAAATATTTAAAATTTAAACGAAAATAAAAAATTAAAATGGTGGTTTCGTCGCGGTTATATTGATAAACGCCGAACAAAACAAAATTAGTAAAAAGGTAGCCACTCGAGCTACATCGTCTCTACCCTCATGCAATTCAACAAGACGTGCGAGAGGCCATTTACACGGAGTCAAATTATCCTCCTTTAAAACAATTAATGCACAGATTTTAGGTACAAAGGCAGAATCTAACCATTTCTTTTGTTGAAAGGTGTGCAGATATTCCTTTCGCCATCGAGCCCAAAAATCTCCTGGACAAACGATTAAAGGATATCTCCTAAAAATCAGGCACAGACAAAGAGGTCAAGGGTTCAAGAGTCAGGAAATGTCCTGGGGCCAAAGCATTGAGATCTTCAAACATCATTAGTTAATGGGGTGAGAGGGCGTGAGTTTAAAACAGATTCAATTAAAGTTAAAACGGTATAGTATTCTTCGTAGGTCAAAATTTGTGCCCCGACTATACGAACAATATGTTCCTTTACAGACCGAATTGCGCGTTCATAAATACCGCTAAAATATGGAGCAGCAGGAGGAGCAAATGAAAACTTAATATTTTTTTTTATCGAGAGCACTCTCCATAAAGCTACTAAGTTGTCGATAAGCACTATGAACATTAGTGCCATTATCACAAAATACTTAAGATACTTGACCTCTCCGAGCGACAAACCGGTTGTAAAGCGGCCAAAAATGCTTTCGCGGTTAAATCACTAGTCAATTCAAGATGCCTTTGTAGCGCAACATACAAATAGATACAAATAGGCCTTTCGAGTTCGAACTCCCCTGTAACGAGACATAGTTATCGAAAACAGTCCACCATAATCTAACCCACAAATCGAAAAAGGTGTAATGGCACCGAGACGAAATTTAGGCAATTACAAATAGGGGGTTTTGGGAGATTGTTTCCAACATCTAATACATTTGGACAATACTGAATTAACGGCTTGTTTAGAAGACAGTATCCAAAACCTTTGACTAACCAAAAAAATAGTACTCTTAAATCCAGCATGTAAATACTTCTCATGATAATGACGAACTAGAAGAGTAGTAAGGCGAGATTTTTTTTGGTAACAAAAACGGGTGTTTTGCTTCATACGATAACGAAGACTGAGATAGATGACCACGACCACCTACTCTTAAACACTGAGTACTATCAGCTAAAATACTCCCAACTTACGAAATGATTTTGGAAACGTGTTTGATTAAAAATGTTCTTGAAAAATACTTTTCCTGTGTAAATCTGACAAAAATAATCTACGAGTCTTCCAATTCTACTAAAGCCAAGGGTCCTGATCGTTTCGACCTTTTGTAACGAGAGTTGTGCGCGAATCGCAACATAAAAGCCAAAATTCTTTGGATCGAGGTAAAGACTTATTTATATAAAAAAAGATTTATTTTCAGCAAACAAGACAAAAAATGTTCCTCACGAGTGGAAACAAATACTAAAGCTTTCTTTATCTATTCCAAAGCGGATTTTTCCTGAAACGAGGGAAAAACCTCTGGAAAAATTAATGGAATATTATGCAAAAACAAAGGACCCGTTAACCAGTCTAATTTTGATAAAAAAGCAGCCGTTAGCATGCCTCACGAAGGCGCATCGGCTGCATTATTTCGAGATTCGATAGAATGCCAAGGCCAATTTTGACTATGGGACGCGATATGCGACGAAAATTTTGAATCTCGAGGGGTGAACTTTTAATCCAGTGCAATACGATTTGAGAATCTAACAAATTATATGCTTCCACGACTGTAACACAAACGACATAAGTTTTACCAAATGAACAGCAGCTAACAATTCTAATCGAGGTATAGTAATCTGTTTTATAGGAGGTACTTTCGATTTGGTACACAGTAAATTAACTAACTAGGTTACGAGTATCAATATCTACTGCGAATATAAACGACACTAGCATCGACAAATTCATGAAGTTCTAAGATGGGAAATGAGGAAATATTCAAAAAACGAGGAATTTTGAACTGTGAAATAAGAGATAATTCGCTCTTCTATTGCTCCCATACACGAATTATTTTCGATGAAGGGCGATCATCCCATTTAAGACCGGTTGTCCAAAGTTGTTGGGTATGTTTAAGGAAAAATGTAATAGGTGTTAAGTAACCACAAGGATTATAAATCGAGCTAATTCGGACAAAAACGATCTTTTGGTACAAGGGACGTCTTGCAATTTGACTGAAAATTCAAAGACATCGGACTGTGCAATCCACTTCAAACCAAGGATTTTTAATGAATGGCCATTTGCTTCTGGATCAAAATTAATGGAATTAGGATTAATATGAGATTCAGGAAATTGCGACAACAATTTTAGTTCATTCGAACACCATTTCCGTAACTTTAACAAAGCGACTAATTCCACTAAAGTTTGTGCTTCTTCGAGAGTCGAGGCACGAAAAATAAAATCATCAATGTACGAAGCATGACGAATAAGCGACGGCTTTAGGAAAACGAGAGCCTTCGTCAAATAATAATTGTTGGAGGGTTCTTAAAGCGAGATACGGCGAATATACTATTCCAAAAGTAACTGTTAACAAACGATATTCCTGAATTTCCTCGAGGCTAGAAAATCTCCATAACATGCGTTGATAATCCGTGTGTTCAGCAGCGACAAAAATATTGCGATATATCGAAACGATAAGACCTTTTCTGATTGACTGCTTAATTTTGTGGAATTTATTTCCTCAAAATATGTTTATTTTGTACAATAAATATTTTTATTATTTATCAATACATTATATGGTGTAAATAAATAAATATTGATTGTCGGTAATTCGTAAAAGTTCTATTTTATTAACTCTTTATTACATTATTATTGGCTATGAATACGTGTGCTTGGTTGTATACATCGAGCAAAAAGATAAAAGAGGGAATGTAAAGGTAGTGGGGGCATAAATATTGTTGGACAGGAAGTGCTATCTTGAGAGGCCAATTTAAACAAGGAAAGATAGTCTTTCCACAGAATAATAAACAATCAGAAGGGACACTCTCAGATGCCGCCTTTGAAGTTTTTCAGCACGCGCGCCATGTTTGAGGAGGACACAGACATATGATTTGTGTGGTTATGTAATTGTTTATATTTATGTTTAATTATATTATATTTATGTTATTATATTTAACAATGTTAATATAATTGTATAGTATGTCTATGATTGCCGTAAGTCAAATAAACCTGGTTAATTTTTCCATGCACACCACATAATTTCTTTAAAATCCTCCTAAAACATGGCGGAACGTCTGCGCGGAGGAGATGCGCGTACTTAATTTTCCGTGGAGAGTGGGTATTCTGTATGTTTATTATTCTGTGGTCTTTCCTTGTTTGAGAAGTCAAATTTAGTTTGGTTATGTTATTGTTTGTCCCAACTGTCACATGAAATTTTATTTATATTGAAGTTTTTTACCAATTGTGTCACTTTTTAGACTATTATAGTTAATATTTAATTAAAACTTTCTCGTCTGAAAAATATTTTATAGCTATTTGTTAATAAGTGTTGGAAAATTTAAATTTAGCGCTTTTGGATTTCCGGATATGTCCGCCATCAGAGGCCACTTTTTTGGTCTCCTTTTCATAACGATTAGATTCCCTCTTTTATCTTTTTGCTCGATGGTTGTATAGTTATTTCCAGCCACTTGTAGTCTGTCAAAAAGAGTATAAATTTGGTATTATGACTCAAGATTAGTAGATATTTAACTGAAATATCTACTAACCTTGATTATGACTGTGGAGTTCTAACATTTTGACAGCATGACAGCATTAATCAAACAGCTGTCAGTCAACGTCAATAATCATAATCAGAATAATTCATAATAACAAAAACTCTTACAAGAAGTTAAATAAGAAATGATTATTCACTATAACTAAAAGCTAAGCATACATATATCTGAAATAAATTTAATACTCATACCTTTTCTTAAAAATATGGACGTTATAGAATCTCCCAAAAAATCATTTGGAAACATTGTACAAAATAATACCTCAAAAACAACCCACTTTCAAGTACCCAATAGTGTCTTAATTGATGAAATAAACGATGTCGGCAATATTTGTGTCGATAAAAACGTTACTTTAAAAAATGCAACGAATTTTCATCCATTAATGTCTCCAATATCACAAGACTTCCCAGATTTGATACCAAAACAAGCCAAAGTTAATATGTATGAAGAACATTTTCATCCAGAAGCTCACAGCTCTGTTAGTGAATTGTATGAACATGGAGAAAGACAAAATGAAGATTTGTCTACAGACTTATCAGGTAAATAAAATAGTTTTAGTTTATACTAAATAAACAATTGGCAAACTAATAAAAGGGAGTTAAAAATTTTAAACCCCTTTTGCATCTCAAAATTTATAGTAGCCCTTTCATACTTATTACCAGAAGTATAATTTTAGATATAATTGATGTAACATATTCAATTAAATTAAATATTTTCAGTTTTCGTAATGCCAATCATTTGATAACAATTCTTTACCATTGTTACTATTCCTTATGTGACTTCTGCTCTAATCGTTTACTATTTTACATTTATTTCGGCTTATAGATCCACATAAACTCAAATTCTAGTTCCTGTTGTCATTCTCATGTCCTACATAATACAAATAAAAAGGATATTAACTAGTCGTTTATAGATTACACCACAAGACCAATGACGAATTTAAATTACAGGTAAAAATTATAAAAGCTTCCAGTCACATCTTATCTAACAAATGGATATTTGTCCACTAATTCTTTATTGAATATACTGAATATTCTGAATTCTCTGAAGCCTTAAGGTACACTAGTATGGAAATGCTGAGAATAAAAACTAGAGAGACAAACGGAACATAAAAAAGATTAAAAAGACTTAAATACCAGAATCTATAAATAGCACTGCGATAAGGGTAGGATTTATCTTAAAATGGTATACAAGTGGAACTGACTTGCAGATTTTCAGGGCTGCATGTTTACAATCGCTCAGCAAATTGGCCACAGGAACACTGCTTCGTGATTGTCAATGTTCTTTTGACTCGCTGTCCTGTTCTCTGATGGGTTGAAAGGCACACATAAATAAATAAATAGTATATATTTATGGTTATACCAATTACAATCATTACAATTCATATCATATTAACAGTTTTAGAACTCAATAATAATTACATACAATTTACACAAGACAAATAAATAGAATAAATACCTAAATGACAGTTTACAGTGACAGCCTACATTGTATTTTTAAAAGATTTTTTCAGCCTTTTTTGAAAACTATTCAGAGAGCTAGAAAAAAAAGTCTACATCTAAGCCATTTCCAGATTGACACATTCGTCTTATAGGTCTATTTAGACCATAGTTTGTTTGTTGGAGTTCTAAGTGAAAAACATCCTTAGATCTTGTGCAACTTTGAGGAACCCTAAGACCTATTCTCTGCAAAATTTGAGGCGAATCTATCATTCCGTTTACAATCTTGAAAAGAAAAACCAAATCTAGCATTAAATGACGATTTTCTAATGTTGGTATATTAAGTAATTTTAAAATATCACAATACACTATATCTTCTGAAGAAATCCCTAATCTATAGCCTACAAAAAATACACCTAAATATTTTAAAGTGTTTGTTGGTTCCAGAAATATATTATTTATAGAGTAATTAAAACAGATAGGTTGTGAGTTTCTAAAAAAACGCATTATTTTACATTTATCAACATTAAATGGAAGGTCATTCTTTGTACACCATTGTGAGAAATTGTTTACATCTTTTTGCATTTTTTACAGTCTCTAACATCCTTAATAATTCTAAAAATTTTCAAATCATCGGCATACAACAAAATAACAAAATTTTCAAAGATTTCTAAAATGTCATTTATGAAACAAATAACACAAATAGTTGATAAATGACCACCCAGTGGGACGCCAGACCTAACCAAAATCTCTTCAGAAAGACAGTTCTTGACTTTGACAATCTGAAGCCTCTGTCAGGTAGCTCCCCAACCTCTCAAGCAGGGTTCCATGAATTCCTAGTGTTTCTAGTTTTTTTATAAGAATCTTGATGTTAACCCGATCAAGGGTTAACATCAAGAAGTCAGGGTAGATCACATTGACCTGAGCCCCTTCCCAAAGGCATCCAAAATGAATTCTTCTAGGATCACTAGATTTGTGGTTGCAGACCTACCCGGCATAAAGCCATGTTCAGGAATAATTACACTTTTAATCGAAAAAAATATATTTGAAGCAATAATTGACTCAAAAATCTTTGCAAAAACAGAAATTTTGGAAATGGGTCTGTAATTTTCTATACATGTTTTACTACCATTCTTAAAAATAGGAGAAATATAACTTTTTTACACTCTTCTGGGAAAGTGCCAGTACTTAATGAAAAACGAAAAAATTTTAGTAATACAGGAGACAGAACAAAACAACATTTATGTACAAAATTAGGTGAAATTTCATCAGGGCCACTGCTAAGTTTTAGATTTAATTTTTCTTACTTATTAAAAATATCTATTAGACTAATATCACAACTGCTTCACCTAATTGTTTTATTATAATCAAAGCTTGGAATATCACAGTTATTGTTATCTACATATGACTTAGTGTTGGGAATTTATCTGTATTGAACAGACAGCAAGAGAACAGAATTTGAGTTGTTTTTACGCAAATAAAACAGATTAATTACTATTAAACTGGGAATAAGCCACAATTAAAGATGAAAATATGTTTATTGATGTTTCAACTTCCACTTCGGAAATCGTTCTCAAAATACAAACAGTAAATTAAACAACTTTTGTTTTTTGTTACATAGTGAAAAATTCTTCTAATAATTTAATTTTATCTGACTCATTTATATTGACAATTCAGACATACATTATGCATTTTAAAGTAGACGACTTTAAAATGATATTGCCAATATTGTTGAGTTGCGCTCCTGGGACGAATTTACTTATAAGATAGTTCATTCGATTACATGAAATCAACTTTAACTTGAGAATATCCGTCAGAAAAAATCATAGCATGTAATTCGTCTTTAAAAAAACAAACACATGACATGATGACAGTAAAATTCTCCTGTTAGTGATTCCATAGTAAATTATGAGGGAATGTATATAATGCATAATGTATGTCTGAATTGTTAATATAAATGAGTCAGATAAAATTAAATTATTAGAAGAATTTTTCACTATGTAACAAAAAACAAAAGTTGTTTAATTTACTGTTTGTATTTTGAGAACGATTTCCGAAGTGGAAGTTGAAACGTCAATAAACGTATTTTTATCTTTAATTGTGGCTTATTCCCAGTTTAATAGTAATTAATTTACAATGCCACAAGAAAATAGCTTCAGAACAATAATAAAACAGATAACTACAAATCCGTCAATTGCTGTCTGTTCAATACAGATAAATTCCCAACAAGCTCAATTTAATAATTTAACAATTTAATAATAATGTGCATGCTAGTATACATAAACCAAATGCCTCCAGTGAAACACATAAATTTTTAACTGCTAAATCAAATTCTACCAGAGTTTCAAGTTTTTCCGGTTTAGGAGATGGTAATCTACGAATAGAATTTATTTGAGCTTCAATAATTTGCTCAGGTCTTCCAAAAAGGATTTTTAATGTAGCTATAATTTGAGGTTGTTGGGAATTTATCTGTATTGAACAGACAGCAATTGACGGATTTGTAGTTATCTGTTTTATTTGCGTAAAAACAACTCAAATTCCTACAATATATAAAATTAACAATATAAAAAAAAACTAATTAATTCCCATTACTTACTGTTCTCTTGCTGTCTGCTAAATTCTTAAATTATTTAAATTTTTCCCTCAGTGACAGTTTTTTTTTGACGTTTTTTATATTATATTTGACATAATTTATGGAACAGTAGCAACGGGAAATTTTATGTAACATGATAAAACTAAAATTGAACTAAATACATTTTATACAAATAATAAATATTCGTAACACTTAGAGAAATGCTGTTTAAAAAAATTTGTAATTTCTGATGGATTGTTTGACTCATTGTTGTCATAGGTCATGTTTGGTAAGTCATAATGTTTATTTTTACTGCGTACATAACTCCAGAATTCTTTGGAATTAGTCATGTTTTATTCCAAAGTTTTTATGCTTTGACTTTTACACTGCTCAGCTAAGACTTTGCATTCTCTATGAATGTCTGAGAATAATTTATAGTCAGAAAAATTATTAGTTTGTTTGAATTGTTTATGAGTTACTTTTTTTCCCAGAATAGTATTTTTCAGTTCAGTTGAATATGATTTTGGAAATTTTGGGCTTTTACATTTTTGTTTTGGTACGAATCAATGTATGCAACAGTACAAAATATCATAAAAACAGGATATTGCTTTATTAACATCTGAAATATTGACTAGTAAGTTGTCCCAGTTTACATTACCTAAAAGTTGGTTTATTAAAATATAATTAGCCCTATTAAAATCATAATAATAATAATTGTATTCAAGGAGCTCATGCACTAATAGGAACTTTTGCTTTGCTTTACTCTTAATAGATTGATGATTGAAAATTGAAATTGTTAAGATTTACCACCAAATCCGGCTACAGAGGATCAAAAAATTGTATGTTTAAATTGTTAATTTAAATTTACTCATGGCTTACTGGAATAAAATGTTTTGAAATAATTTCCTCTTCACCTAATAAAACACCTTCAGTACATGATTGTCTATGTTTAAGAGATGGGAAATCCTACAATAACTTGTTAAATAACCTGATTTGTTAGAACTGTGCCATGGCAGATATGTTAATTGATTGAAAGAAGGGGCGATCATGTAGCCTATTGTGTTATGGTGTTATCAAATTTAATTTTTTGTCAAAAATAAATTATTCATCTTCATATTTTTGAGTTGGAAACCAATTAATAATATCCAACGCAATTTTAAAATTAATTTGATTATTTTTAAAAATGTGTAGGGTGGCCAAGACTTTTTGCTATTTAAACAAAAATAAACCATAAAATTTAGTTAAATAAATTCTTCTCTTATAGAATTTCCAAGTAGTCCTTCGTTACTAAGAAAATCCATATTGGGTGATGTATCTGTTGAAATTACTGCAAATGATGTTATCAGTGATACTGAATATGAAAATGATAAATCTGTTTATGAAGCTCATCTTAGTTCTAATTTGCAAAATGTATCCCTTAAATTAAATGAAAAAGAAGGTAAGCCTAAATATAATAAAAAATCACTTGTAAAATAAATTGTATATTGTAACTATTGTATTATCGCGTTTTCTAATATTTAACTATAAACGGAAATACATATAAATTATGAAGCAATACATAAGTTGTTGGCCTTACTGTCATCATGTTGTGTAATAAAAAAATGCAAATATGAGAAAATCAACATCTTTGAGACACTGAAGCATCTCCTCCTAGAATTATCCTCCAACACCATAATAAAACATCCTTATTTTTTACTATGGGCACTACTATAACTTGTATACAGCTTGTCAAATCTAGGAACAAGTTTGAGAATCTTACAATCGCCACACTCACCAGATGCACTCTAAAATTATCGGATATATATCAGTAGAAGTAAACAACTGGATGTGTACAACTTATTTCAAATCGAGTGGCGAGCCCTTCCACGAAATAGTTAATCGCGCAGACAATGGAATATCTATGATCAGACCCATGCAGTGGTGTTGCAAGAGTAAACAAATTAAATTATTTGAAATCACACTAATTACAAAATTATTACTCACTTAAATAATAAATGGCGTTTATAATACCATATTTAATAATTGATACTGTATAAAGTTTGCCAAAAGTTAATTTTTAATTTAGTATCAGTTATATTAAAACCGTAATTATAAAGTCATAATTAATGACTCCTTAATGAGTCATTAAGAACATACGTAGAACCGATAAGAATTATTTCCGAGAATTTCTAGTCACTGGATTTCAAACGAGTTCGTAATTCAGTCTCATTATGTTGTCGAGTCTCAACAAGAAAGGTGCTACCTCGCGTATTCGAACTATTCTATAGAATGGAGATGGTTAAGTGTACGAGTAAACAGATCAGATTGACACCAGAATCGAAAGGAATAGTTTACAATGTATTTAAATATATTCAAATACTATTTCCTGAAGATATTCGAACCAGTATTAAACAACGTGTGAGTGAAGTTAATGGAATATTTTTACATACAGTAGAAAGGATCATTCAACAAGCGAGTATGTTCACAACCGCATAGTAGAATAATACACTAAAATTTCCAGCTACAACACTTGCTAAAAAGAAAGCAACTGTGACAGACTTAAGGGAGTATGACAAACAGTTCATTAGAAATACCATTCATCATTTGTATGAGACTGAACGTTGTCGTGTATCATTGAAGCTTTTGCAGAAAAGGCTTGAAGAGGTCTACGAGTGGACTGGAAGTGTGAGTTCTCTCTACAGAATTGTGAGGTGCAAGATTTGGGATTTAAATGGAAGAAACCGAAAGATAATCGACGTTTATTAATTGAACGGAATGATATTCCGAAGGTAGATATATTAAGCGAAGGTAAGTCAATTGTATATGTTGATGAACCCTTTGTACATGCAGGACACACTACGCCAAATAGCTGGACAGATGACAGTGAATGGTTTCTCTGTTTGTTCTCTGCATCGATAGCTAAGATTTTGAAACTTTTTCGTATATTTGACAAATAATACAATGGAAGACTCAGAAGAAATCGACTATTAGATATACGAATAATTCAGTAAAATATACATATAGGCATGATGCTAGTTAACAGAGATATTTGGCTCAAAAAGAATAAACTTTGAATATAGATAATATCCTTATTTCGATATTCACATTTGTTTTGACTTTTTTCTGATTATCACAGGTTATTTATAATTTTTTAGGTAACTTAAATTTCCTAGCTCACAATAAAAGGAGCAACAAATTAAGAAAGATTAAAGTTGTGCAAACTCAACTTAGTGATGATAGTGATGTTTCCTCTGCTGATACAAATACTGATAGTTTGAAGTCTGAAGATGTTTTCAATGGAGAAGTAGAAGAGTTTGCAAGAAAGTTGGATGATGGTAATATAGTCTTGTTATTTATGTATATTTTTTTCAATTTTTCATCATTTTTAGAAATTTACTTTCGTATTATTATTATCAAATAGTCCCCTACTAACTTAGCTATTTATTTATTTAAAAAATTTTCGAAAATGTATTTGTACAATGGAATCTTTTTATTACATTAAATTAAACAATTTAATCAAAATAAATCTTTGTTGCAAGTGTCTATGGCGGATGGGGGATGAACCAAAGATTTGATCAACGGCATAAGGATGGGGAAGCACAAGTAGGGCAAACACTCCATTAAAAATCCACAGCAATACGCCCTAGTCAATAAAACATGGCAATGCTTAATACTAAAATAAATTCCGATCGTGTCTTCGGGGAAGACAGTTCCCCGATACATATATATATATATATATATATATATATATATATATATATATATATATATATATATATATATGAAAGGGGTTCCTACAGCTCTCGCTGTCTCCCTTCTCTCAACCATTTTCTCCATTCTTCTTTGTCCTCCCATTCTCTGTCTTCCAATCCTCTTCTTTCCATGGCTTCATCTACGTCATCTCTGAAAGATCTTCTTGGTCTGCCCCTTTTGCGTTTTTCTATGGGGCTCCGCTCTATTATTTTTGCTATCCATCGGTTTGGGTCTGTTCGTCTGACATGTCCGTACCACGTTAATCTTTTTTCTTCAATGTAATTTAAGGTGTCTTTCTTTATATTCGTCTTTTGATTACGTCGTTAGTTATTTTGTCCATTCTGGAAACTCTGCAGCTTCTTCTCCAGTAGTCCATTTCTGTGGCGTGTAGCTAGTTAGTGATGTTTGCACCGATTCCAGATAATGGATTCGTTTGAATTCTTCTTCTTGTAGTTCCTTCTCTTACCGGAGGTTGGCTATCATCAAAGCTATCCGTACCTTATTGGTGGCTGCTCTGAAAAGATATACTGAGCTGCAACTATACCACTCTCTTAGGTTTCTTCTTCTTCTCCCTTCTAGTATGTAGGCTTTAAAGCCTGTTTCTTCTACAATATTAGCCTCCTAAATTGTTTAAATTGTCGCACCATCTTTTTCTTGGTCTGCCAATACTTCTTCGTCCATTTGGTGACTTATCTCGTGCTATTCGTACTATTCTATCCTCTGCCATTCTACTGATGTGTTCGTTCCACTTCTGTTTTCGTTTTGTCACCCATCCATTTATGTTTTCTATATTGCATGCTCAATGTTTTTGCTTCTCTCCCTATCTAACAGACTTCTCCATGATATTCGTCGGAGTATTTTCATCTCTGTTGTTTCTAGCAGTCGTCTCGTTTTAGATGTGTCAGGTTTTGTCTCCACCGTGTATGTTAATATAGGTCTAATTGCTGCTTTATAGATTCTTGTTTTTGTGTCTTGTATAGGTGTTTGTTCTTCCAGATTGTGTCATTAAGAGAACCCGCTGCTTTACTTGCTTTTAAGCTTTGTTGTCATACTTCTCCTTCAACATCTCCTCCTCAACAATCCTCTCAACATCTATGCCCAGATATCTTAACCTTGCTTCCTGCTTTATTATTTTCCCATCAATTTCGATTTTACACCGTAGTGGGTATTTAGATGTTGTCATATATTTGGTTTTTTCTGCTGATATTATCATATTGTATTTCTTAGCTGTTGTATTCAAGATATGTGTTAATATTTGGAGCTCGTCTTCTGTCTCGGCGATTAATGCGGCGTCGTCTGCATAACATAATATTTGGATTTCTTTGTTCCCCATTCTGTAGCCATGACCTTTACGTACTGCTTGTATTATTTCGTCCATTATTATATTAAAGAGAAGTGGGCTTAACGAGTCACCCTGTCTGATTCCGCTTTGTGCTGATATGATATGTATAATAGGTGACTCCAAAAGGTTAAATTCGCAAAAATGTGGAGTCACAAGGTTTTATCATGAGGGTAGCATGTATTCTTAAATCCTATAGTACTTTTAATGTTAAAATATTGTTTAATTACAGAATGACATTCATTTGCTTTTAAATGACCTCTAGCACATATATTGTTGTATTTTTTATTAAAGTCTAATTTATTGTCTTTATTTATTATCAAAAGTTCTACATTTATAACACTTACAAGTTATTTTAAAGTCTTTATTTGTACTAATTCATCTCACACTAGTAATTACATAATTTATTTATAATACGAGCTTTATATTTAAAACTCGGCGCGCTATTATCTTCTGACTAACTCCACAATGAAAGTTCCGTTATATTTATATACACGAAAACAGCCGTTAGAATGGAATTTCTCGAAGAATGTCGACCTTTCTGATCCTTGGCGAAAAGACTGTAAGTTCACGGGCTGGTTTTTCATTCGACTTGCTTCCGGAACGTTCGAATGGTAGAGGACCGGTTTTATTACCTGGAATTTCTGCCAGCTGGTCTAAGGGTCGTTAAATCCAGAACATATCAGAATTAAAAAGAATATTTATGAGACATATTTATCGAAACAATATCTTATATGCAAAAGATGAAAAATTCAGGGTTTTATGGTTTAAACATCATTCAGTTATTAATAATTTTGTAATTCTTCCTCCCTTGAAATTGAAGAGTTAATGTTAAACATGTTTTACTCAATAAATATGTTTTTTTTTTTTTAGAAAACACAACCCCTGAACCCATCGAACCCCTTAGTGCTGCTGATGAACGTTGCCATGCTAGGTACTGGCAACGTATGGTACTACCTGGCGGTGAGCAGCGTACCATAGATATGAGGGTCATAGAACCCTACAAAAGAGTACTCAGTCATGGTGGTTACCTGAGGGCTGGAGGAAATACAGCTATTGTCGTGTTCTCTGCTTGTTATCTTCCAGATAAATCTAGAATTGATTATGTTTACGTTATGGACAACCTCTTTTTGTAAGTTATTAAAATAATTTTCTACTTAAATTTCATACTTGTGTGCAAAGTGCAAAACAATCGACTCGATGTAAGAAGTATGAAATTAAAAATATGTAATGTGCAATTAAAAACTTTTTCCATCGACCTTCCATTTATGATCAAACACCCTCAAAATCATTGATTAATGACCCCTATTAATGAATGATTTTCTATTAATGGACCATGGACGTATAAATACGTCCATGTAATAAACGATTTCATTATAGGCAACACAACATACTTTGCTTGCATAAATTAATTAAACGCTCTGTGATTGGCAGTGAAACTGTGTAGGCAACCAAACATATACCTATTTATATTCCCGCTAAAAAATTTAAAATGAAGTAGCCGCTGTTAGTACTATCTGTCATTAGATGACATTATTTACTTTATTGTTTAAAATTCTGTGTATTTGAAAAATCAAAAGATGGATATTGACCAAGAGTTTAATTTAACTCCACCAGAAGTGGCAGACACTGCAAATGAACTATATTTAAGTTTACTACCTGAAAAAAGCAGTGTGTTGTACGAAAAAACATACGGGTGTTGTCTAATGATTTTGTAATGTCTATGAATACTGCAATAGTTTCCTGCTTGTTCGCGAAAGATTCAAGAATATCAGATTTTAAATTAATGATGTTATCAGTAGTGGTTCGATTTTGTTGAAATCCATTTTGCTCGTGAACCAGGTGATTTTCTTCCAATATTCATAGCAATATTTTATTAACTATTTGTTCCATGACTTTGCACATTACATTGGTGAGAGATGGGTCTATTATGAGGAAATTTTAGTTCGTGCATTGTTAGGTTTGAGAATAGGTATAATTATTGAATCTCTCCAGGAAGTTGGAAAGACATTATTTAACCATATTCGATTGAACATTTTTAGAAGAGTACACTTAGCATTGTTTGGCCGTTTTTCCAAGAATACTAAGGACTATTATCGGGTCCAGGAGCTGAGTGTGTTGTAGTATTAAGGGCAAGGTTAAGTTTATAGCTAAGGTTAAAGGAATATTGAAGGAACTATTATATCTACACAATCGAGCTGTTATTTTTCTGTGATGATTTTGTGTTGCATAAACTCTTCGGAATAGTTGCTATTGCTGGAGTTTTTTTTCGAAGTGTATAGCAAAAGCAATAGCTATTTCGTTAGGTTTTGTGATTTCATTAGTAGATAAAGGTGTTATACTGTTTATATTTGAGACACATTTCCTCCAGTTGGTTTTTCGAGCATTTTTTGTTATATATCGAGCATGTGCTCTCTGTTTTCTGTATTCAGTTATGTTAGTTATGTTACTATGTTTTTTCATTCTATTAAAAGATGCTTTATATTGCTTGATTGAATTTTAACATTCTGTATTCCACCATGGTAGAGGTCTGTGTTTCCTTAATATTTTAGATTTCCCTATGTGTTTCTGCCGCCTATGTAATAATATTTGTAAAAATGTTGAGAGTTTCATTTATATCAGTGTTTTTAAAACTAGATTTTTGTGATTCTATGTCTATCTATTGTGATATAAGCGTACTTGTCCCAATTGGCGTTTTTCAGGTTCCCTTTTTTTACTGCTTGGTATTCAGAGATAGTGTCATCAGAAAATACAGATATTTTTATTGGGTAATGGTCGCACCTATATAAAAAGGGTAGGTGATCACAATTAAGAGTCATTGAAAGAGTTGGGTCACAAATCGATAGATCGATTGCCGATGTTGTACCAGTATGTACATTAAATCTGGTTGGTCTTCCATCATTGAGAATGTTTAAATTTTCTTCAGTTGACAAGTCTTCGATTAGTCTGCCTTTGATATTAAAATTTGTTGAGCCCCACATTGGGTTGTGACTATTGAAATCTCCTACTATTAGCCTGGGCATAGGTATTTGTGAAATGAGTGCTTTTAAGTCGGTTAAGGTGAGAAGTGTATTTGGGGGAGTATAGATGCAACATACATTAATGCATTGGGAAGCTTTAACTGAGATGGCTACAGCTTCGATGTCTGTTTTTAGAGGAATCGTTTGTGCTTCAAGAGTATTTTTAACATAAATGGCCACTCCACCACTTGCTTTTTCCTGCTTGTTTCTATTTTTATAAAATGTTGAAAAAAATTTTAAATGTCTGGAAATATTGGTCTTTAAAATTCGTTTCTTGGAGACGAATGATAGCGGGGGTAATATCATTAATTAAACGTTTTAGCATTTCATAATGGGTATAAAACCCATTTATATTCCACTGTAATAAATTGAATGTTATAGTTATAATTATTGAATGTTCAGCTCCTGAGATAATTCAGTCGATGTATCCGTGTCAGCTTCTTCATCCTCGTAGTTGTCTTTTGAGAGCTGTCTCGTAATTTTTTTGTTTAGCTTTGTACATTTCAATTTTAATGAGCGCTCGAATGTATATGAATGAATTTTGGTTAAGAGTTGTCTAAATTCTGGTATGTCTACTGTATATATATATTTATAACGCTGATAACATATTTTGTTCCATGAGTGTTTTCAAATAAATCAACTGTTTCATCAAAGGTTAATATTTGCTTTTCGGAATTGAATAATTCTTTAATTGGTTGCATTAGCGTTTCTAAAGGTGTTGTTGATATTTTAGTTTTTAGTTTAGTTTAGCTGATGTCTCAATCGGGGGTGATATTGCTTCAGATACAGTTCGTTTGAAGGACGATTTAGATATATTTTCCTCGTTGGATACGCTAAATTCTTTTGGTGCTGGATTCTCTTTATTTTTATTAACCGAGAAATAATTATTGATTATGATTATGTGAGATGATTGGGCTGATGAGGTGGGTATATTTGGTTTGGATATCACTGACGTTATATTATCTGTAGTTAATGTATCAAGAGATGTTAGATTGGTTGTAGATAATATTTTTGTTAGTGACGTTGATTTATTTGATATGTTTGTAGAGGTGCATGTTGTTAAAGGTGTAATAGCAGTCGTTTCTGTTGAAGTCTCTGTAGTAGATTCGTTTCTGTTTGAAAGTATAGCAGTTGGGACAGCTTTGTCTGAGTGATTTACATTTACTAAGCAACTATTGGAAATATGGCCATCATGTTGTTTGCAAAGGAAACATAAGTTGTCTAGTGTCAAAAAATTCGATTGTTACTATCTTCATGAGTTATTAAAATGGAATCGAGAATTGAGCCTGTGGGTGGAGATACGTAAATATGTCGACGGAAACTGAGTACATGTTTGTATTCAGGATTGTTGGTTCCTATTCGCAAAAATGACATTGATGAAGTTGGTTTTAGCCTTAAGATCAGTAGTTCGTTTTTTATTACCTTATGCGGGATAGTGGGAGAAACATTGATTAGGAGTCTTTCACTTGGAGTATTTAGTCTACGGACTTGAATTTGCTGAAACCTCTGTTGTTTGAAAAAAAATCATCTACAACTTGTTTGGTTGAGAAATAAACACAGATATACGATTGTTGGTGATTCTTGATGAAAAAAGAATGTGTTTTGGACTAACTAGAGATCCTACCGCTAACAAGTATTCTTCTAATTTAACATCATTGAGATAATTAAAAACTACTGCTTGTAGCTTGGATGGATATATCGGTTCTTGTTGTTTGCTGGGTGCTGATGAGTAAGATAAAGGTTTTTGTGATGTGGATTGCGATAATAATTCATCGCTATGATTATTGACACAACTTCCATTTCTATTCCATTCCATGATTGGTTTTTATAGGTTAAGTTTACTAATTTGCCAGGATCGATCAAAAAGCATTTGTGCTTATTCGATATCAGTCTACTTCTTATCTCAACCATTTTCTGCTAAACAAACTTTACTTATATATTTTCTTACCCAATGGTTGATTATTGTCAATATTCAATAATTTATTCACTACAGATATCAGTATTTTTTTCCAAAAACAATGACTGTTTTATCATTAACAACTTAAATATATTAAAAATGTATGTCACCTATTGTTTTATGTGTACTATTAATACAGTTAACTATATTTATAACAGGTATGTCTTATGGACTTTGGAACGTTTGGTAACTGAAGATTATGTTCTCATTTATCTACATGGAGCTGCAAATAAACTACCTTCATTCGGATGGCTTAAAAGATGTTATCAAATGGTTGGTCGAAAATTAAGGAAAAATCTTAGTCATCTATATATGGTACATCCCACATTGTGGATAAAGACCATGTTGTTTATGGCAAAACCTTTTATAAGGTAAGCAAAACAGTTATATTTTGTTTTAGACTTAGTAATTAATTTTTAACTGATATCAATCTGTACAACAACAGTGACTTGTGTGAAAGATACATGTTGTCAGTAATAAACATTAGTTTTAGATATAATTTATTACCCTTAGCGAAGTTTTAAGAAAGCCGTAGAATCAAGATATACACATTTTTGTAGATAAAATTAGTATCAACACAAACATGAAGAATGTCCTAAATAAGAGAGAGTGTATAACATAGGTTGCTGGATACAAATATGAGAGAAAAGAGATGTGTAGCGTTGAAAACTCTACCTCCAACCTATACGAGGGTGGATTGATATAAAACTAGCCTTTGATAGAAAAAACAAGTTTTTTGGAATTAAATCGATTTATTTCTCAACATAGTTCCATTTTAGCTCGATACACTTAGTAAGACGATGTTCCATTTTTTTTATCCCATCCGAATAGTACTTTTGCCCGAGCTCCTCAAAATAGACGGAAGTTTCAGCGACGATTTAATCATTTCTTGTGAAACGGCATCCTCCGAGCCATTTTTTTTAGGTTTGGAAACAGGAAAAAATCGCTGGAGGCAAAATCTTGGGAATACTCTGGGTGTTCAACCAATTCATAGCCCAATTCGTGTAATTTTGCCATGGCATCGGTGAGCCGGTGCATTGTCTTGGTGAAAGAGCACTTTTTTGCGTACCAAACCGGGGCGTTTTCGACGCAATTCGTCATCGAATCGATCCAATAATGCTGCGTAGTACTCACCATTGATTGTTTTTTCCTTTTTCCAAGTAGTCGATGTGGATGATGCCCTTCGCATCCCAGAAAACAGTCGTTATCACTTTGTCGGCCGAATGTGCACTCTTTGCCTTCTTCGGCGGAAGTGTTTGTTCGTAGGAAGTGTTTAGGACCTCTATTAACTCGTGGAGCTTAATTCGACGATCTGCCATAATCATGTCATAGACTTTGTTGATCATTTCCGCAGGTGTGACTTCATTTGGCCTCCCGGGACGCTCATGGCTGTCTGCATTCTCATCGCTTCTCACTTGTCTTCTTTGATCTAGCAGTGTTTCAGTATATGGATGTATTTTACTATCTGGTTTTCTTTTAGGACAGTGCACTAACTTCTAAAGCCCTTTAAATAAAAGTTACAAAAAAATTAACAATACCTAACGATACGAAGTACCTAATGGTTATCCATTTACTGACGAAGTGGATAATTATGTAAAAAATGCGCTCGGGTAGAATCGGTACGAAAATGGGGATCTGCGCTGGATCTTAGCAACTGCTGCTTACAATAAATAGTTATCACTCTATAAAATTTAATAGTTGACCAATATCGTGCTATGGAAATTGCAACAAAAATAATATTAGTATGAATATTAATTAAACTTATAATATATTTTTTCAGTTCCAAGTTTTACAGAAAAATATCATTCATCAGTACCCTAAGAGAGCTCATGGTAAGAGTACCACTGGAAGCAGCTGCAATTCCTGATAAAGTCAAACTGTTTGATAGTTTGCACTGTGCTACATAATTTGTTTGTGGTAAATTCGGCCATTTCCTTAACTTATAACTTATTTACACATAAAGTGAATGTTTGGTTGAAAGCCATGACGTATAGTTACATTAGATGCGGTTTAAGCAAAAAAAAATCGCGACACATCAAATTTTCAATTTATTTTTACTTGTCTTTTGAATAATCACTACTATTATGACTTGATTATGTCATAAAATGAATATTATACAATATTTTTTTGTTCAAATTTAAATATATTGGGAAATTCTGATATACATAATTAAAAAGTTACAGATAAAACAGATAATAACGCATTATTGAAAAAAAACTTACAGTACATTACTAAATTTATTTTAATTCGTTTTGGATTGGTCTAATTAAATCGAAGCAATTGTCAATTTTTTTTTTGTAAAAATTTACACATTTCTAGCTTTGAATTTTTTATAAAGTATTCACTTACTTTCAAAATGTTGACTACATTACTGGAGAAAAATGGAGTTAAATGGACAGGTCATTTATCAGCCTAACCTAAAATTAATGATATTAGTAAAAGTTCTAAATTTAAAATTTGATGTCTCAATGGTGATTTCCAAAACCTTAGCTGAAGTATGAACTTCGAGAAAAGGATATATATATATATATATATATATATATATATATATATATATATATATATATATATATACATAGATCTGATTAAGTACTTATATTTATTTATTATTGTTGTTATTCGTTGATTTCTTTTAATTTCTTGCCATATGTTCAGTAATGAATTAAACTTTAGTGTATTTTATTTTATATGTAATTATCTGCAATGGGTAGATTTGACTGGAGAATATGACTTGATGATTATCTGTAAAATTTATAATTTAAAAACTTATTTAGCATTGTTACATTCCCCGTTAATATTCCCCTTCTTTTTATCCCCCTTTCTATTTCGATTGAAATAAAAAATATTATAAAATAAGTACTTTATTTTATAATTTGTTTTGAAAACCAAATTAAAATATTGTATTTTGAAAACGGCTTCCGATGTAGAAACCACAAGATCACATTATAATAACAGGAGCCAAAATTCTCTATCTCTCTATTCAACTCTCTATTTCAATTTGTTACATTGAAAACGGTCTATACTTTGTTTCAAGTTAAGAAAATAACATTACGCTTATGGAGATCAGTGTTGCCAAAACTCTCAGACACTCTCTTTTGCACGGATGTCCAAGATATTCCCTTTGCTTAATTTTTGAATTTTCATTTTCAATTAACATTTAACTGTAAAGTCAGAATAACTACTAAATAAAAGCCTTATTATCATTATATAGTCAGAGAACAACATAAAATCGCTGACATACGCACATCCTATTATTTTAAGTTGCAATTAGTAATTAGATATAGGCATTCCAAGCGGTCAATATTTTCTACTGATTTCTATGATTCATGGCATATCGTATTCTCACCGAAAAACAAATATACTGTCGTTACTATAATTAAAATAAGATAAAATAAAATTATCTTTTGTAAATACTATTTATCTAATTAAAATCATTTTCCCTACTTTTCATCTCTTGTTTCGAATGGGCACTTTTGGTCAATTACGTTAAACATTAAAAAACATTAATTTAATTCATATTTGTGGAAACGAAAATACAAATTATACAACCCTAAATTGTGCTTGTGTGTGTCGTGGCAACGCCGCGTTGCTATCGTCCATAAGAAATACATGGCCCTATCTCCGCAATGTTATTTTCTAAACGTGGAACGTAGTATAGTTCTGTTCTATTCATTTTAATTTTTTTTACTCCTTTGGGATTTTTGGCTTAGTTTCTAGTACCTTTATATTTGGATGAAATCCAATATCTAATTGGCATTTTTAAAATTGATGGAACACTGTTTCTATCGTCTGTGAAGAGCTTATTTCACTGCAATCTCTAGCTTAGTTTGGATCTGTACTATATTTATTTGTAATTATAATTAAATAGTATCTTATATGTCATTGTAATTAATTTGAATTTATAGAAAATTTGGAAATGGTCCATACCTAAAAAAGTAGAAACTTGTTAAAATATTTAGAGTATTATTATGATTTTGTCGAGCTATACATCGAATAACATAATATCATAAGACTTACCAATATGTATTTATTTTTGTACCAAGTACCTTGTATATTTTGCCACAGTTTTGCTTAGCGGTTTAGCGCTATCAAGATATGATATTGGCTTATTGGTAGTTTCAGGTTACTCTACAGGTTTTCGAATAATTGTAAATTACCTATGTTTGACTGCGATATGTCTTAGTCGGTAGTGCCGATTGTTGAAATATTTCAATGTTAATTTATCAATAATTCAATGTTTATGACATTGAAAATGGTACCGACGTAATAAAAAAAAATCAAAAAAGTCGAAACATAAGAATTATTCTTCTTCTCCTTCTGGTGCCGTAGTAGGTTGTGAACTGAACTCAAATCTTCCGATTTCTCTGATTCAGATAAATTTTACATGACTACTACTAAAAAATAAAAATTTTTTTTAACATCGTGTCGTGTTTTTAGCTAATATTTCTAGGGCTCTCCAGTTAGAGTACAGCATTTCATATCCTGCTGCCAGCTATTTTCTAATGTTTCCGGCGTCCACTGGTGAACTGGTGAGCTCTCTCTTTGAATTGACTCTACACTGTTCATGCAGCTTTTATAGAGAGGAAAAATGCTTAATGGTGGCCTGGATTAACCGAACAATGGGTGTTTTGATTCTGTGTCTCTTTTTCTATCTTCTAAAAGTATAAATTTTATTTACGGGTATGTGTTTTACTCATCAGACGTGGTCATTTGCGGTGTTCAGTGTCAAATATTTCTGTACACAATATTCGTCCAGATCTTTCAATATATCATAAAATTTCCCCAAAACCTCTTCAAAACTTCTTTCTTTAACACCTGTAGTAACATCGTCCTCATATACAAGATATTGCAAGTTTGTGTTAAGCGATATGTCATGGAGATTTTTGTGTATATGTTATAAATGGTAACCAATAGTTTGGTATTCTATTTAATCAAACGCCGTATGAACTTAAAGTTAGTGAAAAAAGGTCATTACTTTCGACTTTTTCGATGTAGTTGTTGCCAAAAATTGTTTCTTTAATCTAACTGTAGCTAAATAGTTGAATATATTTATATAATATCAACTAATGCCTGAAAGTAACGCGGAAATGTTATTAATATTTGCAGATTTCATATCTTGATTACAACTATTAAATGTACTTTAAAAAAAACTTGTGTAACAAGATTAAGATAGCCAGAAAAGGTGATGTTGGTACACTTGACCAATAAGGAAGTAAGTTTAGATACTATACAACAATATTTGCAAATAGGTTTAAAATATGTATTAGGGTGTTTAATATTTGTATATAATCTCATAGTCACGAATCTCATAACTTAATAATTTCTTTATGTGTGATTACATTCCTTAATGTAATATAAACAGTATTTTTTGTGTTATTTATTTTGTATTAAATACTTTTTTATATAATTATTTACTTACATGAAATAAAAAATATTTCATTACCTACTAACGATTCTAAAAGTTTTTAAAAATATATATCCACAACCTCTTAAATTTAGCATTGATTTCTTCTTTTTTGGAATAGAATTTTGTATTTTTGGCGCTTCTGCTCTAAACAGATCAACAGAACTACATTTAAATCCGATCCTCAAATTATTCAATGGGCAATTCTTCTTTGTCGACTTATTTCCTGGATTCTCTATAGCATTATTATATGAAGCAAGTTAAATGTTCGCCTCTCGACATTTGTGACTCGATATACCCAGCTTATTTTAAGCAATTTTCTGTGAGACCATAGTTCAAAGCAAACTTTATTTTAAACCCATTTGATGTCCTTGCTACAGATTATTTTTTTCATTCTGCATTTCTTGTTTTTCCTATTCTTAGCGTTCTTATCCGAGCATTCCGATATTACTAAAGTATCATCTGCAAATCGTATATTGTTGGTGGGTAGACCGTTTACTATACTGGTCATTGATTTTTCCGATTTTCTTTTTTTAATATATGTTGAAAAGAATAGGTAACAGTACACAACCCAGTTTGGCACACTTTTCGATCTCTAATTGTTCTGAAAATTCATTTTCTTCCTTTTTTAGTACAGATTTCTGATTATAGTAGAAGCTGCTGATATTCGGATATCTTATCATGGCGCAAGTTTTCCTTTCGAATAATTGTATTATAAGACGACATGTGTAGTAATTCAGGAAATAAGCGTATATTGGATGATTTATGACAGTAGTTGGTCGTTAATTCAAATTCTTTATCTGTGAAGAATTAATCTAATCTTTCTCCTCTTTCAAATCCATAAGTTCGAAGTTTCCAATAAGATTTCCTTTACTTTTCTTGCCAATTTTTGCTTTCAGATATGCCATGATTATTGTGACGTCTCTAGGTTTTATTGTGTGTAGGTTTTTTAAATTCATTATTGAAGAACATAGGGGGATTTTATTTCTCCCCCTGAATATGTTGCTAACTGCTTATTGAAGCAGTACCTTCGATTTTGGTTCTATGTAGTTATAATAAAATAAAATTGGTTACCTTATATTTTGGCGATCACACTCTCGTAATTACTTTAAATTACACTTAATAATTAAAACTATATTTTTTTTATATAACACAAAATCTTTTGTGGAGAAATGAACGATTTATTTTAAAAGTGACAAATATTAGAGAGTTATTAAAAATTGACAAATATTAGAGTAATGTCAGAAATTATAGAATGACTGTTGTCGACGTCATAAAGGTTAAGAAGGGAATTTCTCGCAATTATGTGCAGCAAATAGAAACAGCATCTGTCTTGCATTATCGGCAATTCGACCTATGAATTTTTTAGGTTGCGATATGCAACATAGTCCCCCCCTTGATGTGAACGCATCAAAAAAAAAAAAAAAAATGTTTATGTACAATTTGAAGAAAGGTATAACTAAAACTAACAAACTATTAATATTCTTGAAGGTGAGTCATAGG